GTTCTTATGTTCTTATGTTCTTATGCTACACCGCCCACCTTGGTGTCGTCTGCAAATTTAACCAGTTTACTGTATGTATTTGTGTCAATATCATTAATGTAAATTAGGAACAATAGAGGTCCTAAAATTGAACCCTGCGGTACCCCACTACATGTGTGCAGGGTGATCACACACGCCCAAGCGGGGACGCGGGCTTTTTGGTGTTGTTCGGCACGCTGAAATAAAGACAGCTGCTTTTGGCGCTCGACTTGTGGTAACTGCTACTTTCCTTTTTTCTGCTGCACCACAGCTGCACAAGCGTATCAAGCAAATTTTATTGTTTGGACACTTAGCCATCTCCCTGCCGGCCCCTGGAGGATGGGCTCCCCCTTTGAGTCTGGTCCCCCAAGGTTTCGTCCTTCTCGGGAGTTTTTCCTTGCCACTGTTGCCTATGGCTTACTCACTGCAGGGGCTTTGGGTGGGGATGCTGTAAAGCTTTTTGAGACGATGTAATGTTGTGATAATGCGCTATACAAAAATGAATTTGTTTGTTGTTGTTGTATCACTGTTGTCATGACCTGCGTGTTCAATCCTCGTGTGTGCCACGCCCCCTGATCCTCGTGTGTGCCACGCCCCCTGATCCTCGTGTGTGCCTCGCCCCCTGATCCTCGTGTGTGCCTCGCCCCCTGATCCTCGTGTGTGCCACGCCCCCTGATCCTCGTGTGTGCCTCGCCCCCTGATCAACCACGTGTGCTCCCCTGATTGTGCCCAGCTGTTTTCCATCAGTCGGATATGTTCTGTGTATTTATTCCGCTTCTGAGTCCGTTTCCCCAGATCCGTCATTAATGTTAGTCTGTCGCTGCTCTGTGTTTTCCCTGTCTGCCCAAAATAAACCCCGTTTTCCCGTACTCACGGCTCCCTTCGCCTGCTTCCCCGTCGCGATCGTAACAGCTGTTTTGCACAGTCAGACAGCTACGCTTTTTTTGCCATCACGTATAAATGGTCTTTATGACAATACACTGGCATTAATTTCATATTAAATGTGATATAAATTGTTACTTTTTTCTTTTCTTCTTTATTGCTTAAAAGAACCCTCCATGGATACCTGGGCAGCACTTTATAGGGGGCCCAGAATCTGACAAATTATAATGTATATGCTGAGGAAACATTATACATCCACTCTGTAAATTTTACCATGGGAACCCCCCCCCGATTCAGGGGGCCCAGCATTTTATAGGGCCCTTAAAATAAAAAAAAAATGTATATATGTTCAGTAAACACCTGCATATATGTCTGTGTGTTTCATGGAGAGCAGGATGGGGTAGCAAAGAGAAGCATTCCAATGTACCTGTACTGATACTTCTGCAAATGGTAAATAAAGTATAGTATCATTTCATACAGAGGTTTGCTGACGAGATCGTTATCCCCCCCCCCCCATTTTGCCGTGGCTGCAGCTCCAGCAGCAGGTTCCCCCAGCCACCATTCCGGGCCCCCTGGCCGACCCGGGGAAACGCAGACTGATCCGGGAGCAGCTGTTGCTCCTACTGCATGCCCGCATGTGCCAGCAACGCAAGCAGACCAACAGGGAGGAGTGGTCATGCTCCAGGCCCCAGTGCCGCACCATGAGGAAGGTCCTGAAGCACATGGATAACTGCCAGGCTGGCATGACCTGCCAGGGTGAGTGCAGGACCGCACTTCCGTTTCCACTCTGCTGGGAGGAGGATTAATTTACCTTTGGTCATGCATTCACCTTCACTTCAGTGCCAGCTCTGTTTCTGTCACCTAACAGTCTGAATCCCTCTTTGATCCCCTGCAGTGAAGCACTGCACTTCCTCCTGCCAGATCATCTCACACTGGAAGAACTGCATGCAGGATGACTGTCCCGTCTGCATGCCGTCTAATAACATGAACAACGATGTAAGTTGTCGTCGTCCACCTCCCCCGTCACTCACCCCTGTGGTCAGCTGGAGCCCAGGCTGACCTTCTATCA